GTGTGCTCGGAGCAAGGAGTCTTACATTCCCTAGGCTGTGAGTGACATCCCTTCTGGGGAGCCCCGTCTCCTCCCTGCGGCTTAGGCTCAGAAAAATGCCCACCCCAAGCAGTGTGGTTCTGAATCACACTGAAAAGAGAAACCTCAAACAGTGATGCTCAGAGCAAACTAAAGAGCAGGACTTTGAGAGACGACAGGAATGACTGGAGGACGGAGACCCGACCACCAGGGTCTGCAAGTTAGGACGGTCAGCGCCCCTTACATGATCTCGCTGGATCTTCCCTTGGCCCTCTCCTGTAAAACCTTAGTCAACCTTCAAGGCCCAGCCTCAATGCCGCCTGGCACAGAAAGCAAGCTGGATGGATGTCCCAGCTCTCTGAGACCGCGGAGGGCGTGTCTGCATGTCTGCTCTGGCAACCCGGCCCGGCCAGCTACTGCCATCCCCTCATCACCTGCGGCCTCCCCGAGGCCAGAAATCCTCAGTGTTCACCTCTGCCGGGCCCACACATGGGTCACACTCGACAGGCACCCATTACGTGGACAGGTAACACTCTCAAAGCTAGCCGTGTTCGATGGCCCGAGATAGGTTCTCAATAAAATGTCCCCAAACCCAACGCGTTTCTCTTCTTTACCTGGTGTACTCTAATTCTAACTACCTCGCGTTCTACTTACTTTCCTTCAACATTCAGAAAATAACAACGAACGCGGAATCGGGAGACGGTCTGGGGCTTCACTCTACCCACATAACCTTGGGACAGTGAGTTAACCTCCCGGACTTGAAACGAGGAGGTGCCTGCAGGCACTAACGTATTATGTCCTGTTTCACCCCTCTTCCCTTCTTGCCTCGAACGGGGTATCACAAAAACTGCAAGTGTTTACACGTATTTATGCCCTCAACGAAGTTTGAGTCCTTCCGAGCTTCTCGACTGTGCTCTCCGCGGTCCTGGGGTCAGTCACCCAGAAGGGGGCGCCCCACACCCGCCCCCGGCGCTCCGGGTTTCTCCCGGACCTGGGAGCCGACGCCGGGGCGCGGCCGCCCACGCCTCGCCGCCGTACCGTGCTGATGCCGGCGCCCGTGTAGACGACCAGGTACTTGGCGTTCCGGACGGCGCCGGCCAGCTCCCGCACTTTCCTCCGCAGCTCCTCCGGGTCGTCGCACACCTGCCGAGACGCCGAGGCCGGCCGTAAGCCCCGCCCCCGCCCGGCTAGAGGTCCGGCCCCGGCGGCCCGCCGACCGAGCCCCGCGCCGACCGAGCCCCGGGACTCGCCTCCTCCTGCCGCCGCTTCAGGCCCTCGCGCCGCCTGCTCCGGCCCTGCAGCTCGGTCACCAGGTCCTCGCTCTCGGCCAGGAGCCGGCCCTCCTCGGCGCTGCGCTCCGCTGCCGCCTTCCTCAGGATGCGCGACACCTGCGGGCGCGGGGCAGGCGGTGAGGGCGGCGCGGGGCGGGGGCGCGGCGCGGGGCGGGCGGCGGCGTACCTGACGGAGGCGCTCCCGCTGCTGCTCCTCCCGCAGCCTCCGGACCCGCTCCGCCGCCTTGCGCTCCGAGCGGCTGGGACCCCCGGCTGCCATCGCTCCCGGGAGACCCGCGCTTCCGCTTCCGCCTCCCGGCAGGCCGTGCACCGGCGCATGCGCGCAAGGTCCGCCCCGCCCTTCCGGCCCCGCCCGCGCGGCGCGCAAAGGAAGCACCTGACGGTCTCTTTAAAAGGTGTTTATTGATCATATACAAAATAAAGAAAACCTTATATATCACAAACATACACTATGTACAGCAATAAATACCCGGGGTCCGGCCCAGTGCCGCCCCCCCTGGACAATAATTTAGCAATAAATACTGCACAGGGCGGGGTGAGCGCTGAGGCCACAGCCCGCCCCAGGGAGGCCCCTCCTCACCTGGATCTTCCACAACCCCTGCCTGCCCCGGCAGGTCCCAGGGTACCACCACCTCCCCCTGGTTTCAGCCCTAGGCAGGACAGGCAGGGTCTGATCAACTCCGCTTGGACCCAGCCTCTCAGCGCCAGGAGAGCACCAGAGCTGGACGCACTGGGCAGCCCTTGTCCTGTTGCCCTAAGATGCCAGGAGAAGGCTTTCTGTACCCACTCCCGTTTGGTTAAAGGCTTCAGGGAGTAGCAAATTGAGGGGATGGGGAGAAGGAAGGGGCTGGGACACGAGGGTGCTGGAGGGGCCACCCCCTCGCAGTCCATCAGGGGCACACTCTTCTAACACTCCAGCTCACCAGACACCCACGTACCAAGGCTGCTGTTCCAGCGTGGGGTGGAAATGTGCGTGACCGGCCCAAAGGTACAGCCCACGCGCAACACACACAGGCCAGAAGCAGGACAGGCCATCAGTCTCCAGGGCACACCCCTGCCTCTGTGTGTCCTCCACTCTCCCCACCTGCTCCAAAACTAGACGGCCAACAGGAAGGCAAAAACGCGCCAAAAAGAATTATTCAGTGGCTTCTGGGGGAAAAAAAAAATCGTTACTGTGTTGGTTCCTTTCACCAAACCACAGCCTAAAAAAGTAACTTACAAGATCCCAGAGCGGAAACGGTGCTGCAGGCTGTGGCTTGGGCTTCCCAGCTGTGGATGGGAGCTTTAGCCAACTGGCCACCTCTGAAAGGGAGGCCACAGGGACAGGAGGGGGCTTGACCAGCCATCCGAAAGCAGGCTACAGCTGATCGGAGCTGTGGGCCCAGGAACTGACCATAGAAGCTGTTGCTGACGGGCAGGGTTGTGCACACACACCTGAAGCCTGGACCAAGGGCAGAAAAGCCTCTGGGGAGACCTGGTATCCGGCAGAAACCAGCACACCACACGGCCGAGCAGCCGTGTCTTCCCACCTTTACAAACAGCGGTGCCGCCCAGAACAGCAGCCAGGGCCGTAGGGAAGTCTCCCTGGGGCCACACTCAGGGCAGGAGCTGACCTGTTCCCACAGGGTTCTCCTCTGAAATCTGAGTGTCCGTGTCGGGATGAGGGGGGAGTAGGGCTTAGGCCCGATGGGAAGGAAGGTACACGTCATGGTTTACTTAGCGGACCAGTTTGGGAGATTTGGCCTCGGCCAAAGCCCTCGATTCGCTGTGTCAGAAAAGTCGAGGATAAAAAGAACACAACACCCTCACAGTAGGAAAACTGAATTGACAAGAATCAGAAAGACACCAACCAGTCACATGTGGACACAGGCTCTACTGTCAAGAAACCAAGGGGAAGGGGGAAAGGGCAGAGTGCAGAGCGGCCCCGTGGGGCTGGCTTGATGGGAACAGGATGTACTCCCAGACCCCAGGAACAGCTGCTCCAAATCCAAAAACTCCGAAGGGAAGCATGGCCTCAGTAATTCCAGAAGCTTCTTCCAATACCTAAACCAAGGACCTGCAATTTCTCTTCCGTCTGTGTCCACCCTCCAACCCGCCTCTGGACTTCCAAACCCACCTCCTTTCTCTCCTCTCCACGTCTCCAGCCTGCAGATGGACAACTACCTCCCAGCAAGGACGAAAGTGTCGGGACCGTAAGCGGATGTGGAGAACATGGACGTGACCCCTCTTCAGTGATTCTTATGACGCGATTCCAGCTCACTGCTGCTACAACCAACGTCAACAACTTTCATCTAGACCCTAGGTAGACAAAGCCAGACAGCAAGGAGGGGCAGGAAGCCACTAAGTATTGAGAGCCAACAGTCAAAATCTCCATCGCAGGCCGACCCGGGTACAACCGGGAATGACTGAGCCTCTAGGGCCAAGCCCATTAACACGACAGAAATTGACAGCGTGCCCCTGCTCCTACCCCACGGGCA